CTAGAGATCCCGTTAACTTCAGATACGGGCAACGAACGTGGGCTTACACGTACCAAAAGTCTAGATAGTCTACAGAACGCTGCTGGTCGCGCATGTAAATGTAGAACGAGAAGAGGTCGACCGGGGCGAGAGTTCGGCGGCTGAGCACCTCAAAGAGGGTCGGTAGGCGATTACGCGACTCTGCATCGGCAAAGTCATGATGAGACATATCGATAATGTGTTTTAGAGTAGGAAACAGTGTAATGAGCAGCACCGAAATTTCAAAGCGAAGGCGGGGCCCCGGGGACCAAAAGGGGGGAGATATTAAGGTCGCGTTGGCGGGCGAGTGAGTGATCTCAACACACCCCGAAAGATGCGAGTAAAAGTAGCTGATTGAAAGCGAATGATAGACGGTCGAGAGCGAAATGAGAGGGGTTGAAAAGAATTAGCCTCCAAGTCGCGAGGTACGCAACAGATGGTGTGTGGATATCGGGGGAGCCGCAGAGGTCACAACACAACCAGGTCGGCTCAGCAACAGCAACAGCAAAAAAAGAAAACAAGGAAACTTGAAAAAGACAAGTCCTGCAAAACGAAAGACGTAAGGGTGAAGTTGAGGCTATTCCAGCCATCAGCATTCTTCTTGAAACATCGGAACAATAATAATCCGAGATTAAGATCGGTCAGGGGGAAATTAACGTTGAGGTTTTAGGTTATTGCTTCATATATCATCATACATATAGACTTTTCTACAGACATGTTTATATTCAATTCATGTCTTCTATACCTAACTGCTACTGCTCTATGGAAATGGGCATCAACTTGAGCCTGACGTATATTGGCCCCACAATACCAAGCATGGCGTCTATAAATATGATTGGTGTGAAGATCAGCATATCTATCCATGGATGGATGGAGCTTGACATTGATCTACAAAGTAGACTTTGCACACTAAATCAACGTTGAAAAAAAAATTTCATGAGCTGGCATTAATTCATAAGCCAGTGAAAATTGCATGTAGTAATCTATCAACAGGGTATTGCCCATCAAATTCCAATCCAACGCCATTCCATAAAAACACCCCTCGCTGCAATAAATGTATATCCCGAGATCAATGATTATCGGCAAGGTGCTAGGTGGTAAAGTTAGCTTCTGTTTCTTGAAAAAAGGCCTTGATTGCAAATACTTACAGACCACTCTGGAATATTCCGGATCTGCTGCCACATGAACTTCTCAAGCTTGTTTGCGCTCTTAGCATAGGGTGTGGTCTCATTATTGTAGCGTCGGCAATTGTCAAATATCAACATAGCGTCCTTGATGAAATCCTGTGGGGTCGGGTACAAGTCCTTCTCATGCTTCTCTTCCATCGTCGACAGATCCATGGGCTCCATGATTACTTCGTAGTAGTCTGGAACCTCATCGCGGTTCACGGGTTGGGTAAATGGCCAGGCTGCACTGTGGTTCTGCATATCGTTCAACAGGTGCAACAATTGGTTATAGTTGGGCCCATGGCGTGGTTGACGAGCCATTTCATCCATATCTGGCGACCATCCAGACTCTTTAATTGCGGGGATGCTAAGAGGATCGATTGAGTACACCCCATTTTTCCATTCCTTCGGTGGAGGATGGATGATATGCGAGCGACTGAAGGCACGGATTTTGGCTTGCACGGACTCCTTCTGCTTGGTGAGCATGCGGCCCATCTCCAGATAACGGATCTTGGGGAGCATGGTACACTGCATGAGCGTGCCACCCTCGTAATCCTTAATGTAGCCCATCCAGATTGATTTATCGAGTGTGATCTCCTTGGTGAAGCCTTGTTTCTTGAAATATCCAATGGCATAGTTATCGGCGTAGGTAAGGAAGTGCATAATTGGGGAGGTAGCTTTCACATAGTCCTAATTGGTGAATAAGTTAGATATATGGATAAAGATTGCAGACCTGTAAAGCACGCGTACCTTGAGATGAGACATCAAGTGTGCACCATATCCCTTCACTTGTTGATCCGAGGATATAGCGCAAAAGACAATCTCAGCGAACTTTCGAGAATTGAACGGACGATACGTGATTCCTCTGTAGTATATCAGTATCCCGATCTAACCACTCCGGGGTAGTACTTGGCACTTATGACATACCCAACAACCTCTAGTGGGTGTTTAACGATAGCCATAGACAGATGGGATCGATCGTAGACAAGGCGTGCGATGTAGTCCTTAGGCATCTTCGGAAGTTGTTTCTGGAAAATACACTTTAAACCCGTCAAGACAATAAAGCTATCGTGTGAACCGTCATTGTTGACGACGCGAAACTCTATGTCACCTCGGCGTTCCTCGAGAACAGCGGGCTGTGTATCGTCAGCCATTGCCCATGAAGAGACATTAGAAGCGGTGGCGTGGGATGGGAGGGTACCTTCTCAGGGAATGGAACAATGCGGAGCGGAGGTTTTTTAAGGAGGTCATCTTCCTGTGCGGGGTATTTGTTAGAACAAACGGATGAAGCGATTCAGTAGATCCTTCTACCTCTTTCACAGGCGAATCTGTGCGCGCCTTCTTGATTATCTGCTGTCCAGACTCCGGGGAAGCTGCCTCCTCAGAAGCTTTGCGCTTAAAACCTGAAACCATAGTGACACGTTAAAAATTGTTTCACCGAATGCAATTCCAGAATATAATATTTCACTTACTCTTTGGTGAATCAACGGCCATGATGTCCTTGCCCTTCAAACTTGACCCTGCGCCGACGATGACATGGGGTATCGGTCGGAACAACTAACCACCGGTCGGGCCAGATCAACACTGGCGATCTATACATGTACCTAGGTATCACTCTCACATTACCTTTGAATTGCATCAATTTGTCCCTCAATTACATTCATATCACATTCTATTGTCCTAATGTCTCTGAACGAAGCCTGGGAGGCAGCCTCTGCAACTCCATTCATCCCTCTCATTGCTAAGGATAGCCAGTTCTCTGTCGGCTTCAACTTGCTTCTCCTCGGTAAGCTTCTTAGTCTACCACAGCTTTGAAAATAACCAACCTCTAACTAAATATTGATAGCATTGGTTACGGGCACTCTATTTGGCTTGAGTAAGTGACTCTTCACATTTAACTGTTGAATTGGACTCTGACATTTCACCAAATAGATCGGTCTTTCCTCGGCATCGTATCCTTGGGCTTCCCGGCCGCACTCGCTTCTGGGTTAGTAATGCACTGCGTCCCATTTTAGACATGCGATATACTGATTTGGCATTCTGGATAGTTTTGGAGCTGTGTTTATGATCTGCGCCGCTGGAGTCTACGTTTAACCAGGCCACCTTTCCTATTGCGCGTCCCCTCAAATGTACCATAAGCGTTGGGTTCAAAGGGGCCTGTACTGCTAGAACATCCAAAGCCATCACACATATTCGGACTCATTATCTCTGCTCTGTGCTATTATCGCGCCTGAATAGTTCGAGCTAGCAACCTACGCCACAAAATGGAGCCCCTTTTCGCTGGCGTCTCCAACAACGCCCACCATCTCTACACGTTGCTTTCCTGCATTGGTTTCGCGCACAAGGCCACTGTTCAAATCACCCCAGATGGCCTCCGATTCTCAGTGGAGGAAGGCCGCGTCATTCAAGGACTAGCCTTCCTCGACAAGTCGCTCTTCACCAGCTACACATTTAATCCATCGACCGACTCCGAACCCAACAATCAAAACGGAACACCCCATGACGACAGATCCTCGCAAAATGGGGCATATCCTCACTTTGTCGTTTCTATCTCCGCCATTCTCGAAACCCTAAAAATATTTGGCATCAACGAACTCTCCGAATCCAATCGACCCCGCGACACTAGCATCACCCAAACCGGAATCGCCTCGTCAAGCGCATTCAACGCTCCAGCCCTGCTAATGGACCGCTCCTGCACTCTGCAATATGTCCAACACGGCGCCCCGCTCAGCATCACCATCACGGAAGCTGGTGTGAAAACAACCTGCGAGCTAGTAACATATGAGCCCGACGAAAACGAAGCAGACATTCCTCTCCAGCGGGACGCCATAATAATGAAAATCATCATGCGCTCCGCCTGGCTACACAATGCCATCGCCGAACTCGACTCTTCAACCCCCACAATCCTGAAACTGTCCGCCTGCGCCAAGCAAGAACCATACTTTGCTCTTTCCGGTGCGGGCGGTCCGTTCAGTGAATCCACCGTGGAGTTCTCGGTTGATCAGCACAACGAGATTGCCGGCGGCGCTGGTCATGGCACTACACAATCTCAGATGCATAAGGTGTTGTTCGATGATGGCTCTTCCCGGGCTCGCGCAACTAGAGCTAAGCTTGCGCCTACGGTTACGGAGACTTTCCTTGTTTCTCCTCCTTCTTCTATGGGCGAGCGCATTCAGCAGAGCTATCGCTTTGCCTTGATTCGCAAGGCTGCGAGAGCTATGTCTGTCGCTAATAAGGTTAGTATCCGTGGGGATCGGCAGGGGGTGTTGAGTTTACAGTTCATGGTTGAGCTTGATGATAATAATGCACCGGTGGGCAGACCAGTTGGTGCTGGTGTAAAAGGTCCCAATGGACCTGTGTGCTTCGTGGACTTCCGGTTTGTGCCATTGCTAGACGAGGAAGAGGCTGAGATGGAGATGGATGCAGCAGTCGAATAGCCAGGTTAGAACTAGCACAATTTAAATAAAGCGCATACCTCATTAAAAATGGGCAAAGTTCCAGATGAATAGCGTAAAACTATTTCTCCAATAGTAATTGACATACAAGCGCTGCCTGGTATAAAACAAACGGAATTCGAGGCCAAAAAGCCAAAAAGGCAGGCGCTAAGACATCAGCCTAACAACTAGAGTGGGAAATCAAAGCCCCAAGCCAAGTCAAACAAATCATGTACATCATCAGAAGTGCACACACTACTAGAAAAAAAAAGAGACCAAGCCACGAACCAGCCATGCCACGAATGCGAATATGTCCACAAGGCCAAATCCCAAAGTGCGTCACAAAACGCCAGAGTTAGAAAAAAGAAAAACCTAACCACACTCAAGCATGATCAGGATTGTAACTCGTTTCCCCCAGCATACTCTGACCAACAGGCGCAGCCGGTGTAGGTGTAGCAGGACGTGGCATCGATGAGCTCGGCTCCCCCAAACCAGACGGGTGAGCCTGCACACGCCCAACAGTAGCAGCCTGCAACCTGCGATCCAAAGCCTTGAGCGCAACAGCCCGTCTGCGCTCCGCCTCCTCGCGCTTAGCCGCGCCCCTAGCCCCACCACGCTGGTTGTTCAGTAGCGTAGGCAAGCCCGCCTCGCCTCTTGCAAGCACAAGCTCATTACCGGAGGCGATATCGTCCTGGGAGAAGGGCGTCAGGAGCTTAGCTGTAACCAGCAGAGCGTAGATTTGGTCCGCGACGAATGCGATAGGCGGCTGCATGACGTCGGGGAATAGACAGGCGAATGCGAAGGTCTCGCTAGCATCACCTTTGATGCCCGTGCCGCTTGAGGTACCAGTTAGGTCGGGCTGGCGTTTGTAGAAGCGGAGGTAGGTCCAGCTGGCGAGGATGCCGAGCCAGGAGAGGACTGCGGCGGTGTGTGTTCCGATGACGAGGCCGCTGATGGTGTTTAGGAGGAGGAAGAGGGCGGGGAAATGCTTTACGCGCATCTTGATTATTCCTTTAAAGATTGTTACGGTGTGTTCTGGGACGAGCTGTTTGAAGGCGACTAGGAAGGAGGCTTGAATGGAGACGCCGCCGCAGATTTGGGTGAGGCTGTTTTTTTGGAGATGGTTAGTCAGTGTTTGGTATAGGTGGTAATTGGTTTGCTTCATGTTGGGGGTCGGCAGAAGGGGAGGGGCGATGCTTACGGTCTGCTTGAAGAGCCTCCCACTGCTCCCCAGGTTAGGTAGATCGGAATGATAGCGACGCAGGGGATCACGGCGACGACCGCGATAAACTTGCTGAACTCGCGCGAGCCCCACGCGCGTTCAAGGTACTTGCCGCCATAAAATACGGTGGCGGCATTTAATAGGACGGTGAATATATTCTGTTCGACGAAGGTGGCTGTGACGATTGTCCAGGGATAGTAGTAGAAAAATGAGGGGACGAGAGTCAAGTAGGGCACGAGAGGAGATGTGGCCGGGGTCCCGCCGGTGGTGTCAATTTGTCGCCATCTGGCAATGTTGTAGAGCAAGGAGAGGGTGAGAAGGCTGACGAGACAGATTCGAGTAGCAGGGGGGATGTTAATTCGGAGCGACATGTTGGAGCTCGCTTGGAGCTGCAAAACGCCACAGGCCGTAGAGATGGAGAAAGTTGAGATGGGAGACTTTAGTGGAGGGCGGAGAGGTACCCGTGTTTATTTGGCCCCGAGATGCTTCAAGGCGACAATCTACTTTATACATCATGCATACATCAACGTAGCCTTCGAATAGGATTATCAATTTATGTTTCATGTTATTATCTCGTCTTCTTTATTAACCAGTGCATAGTATTGTCTGTTCTTTTTTTTTGCCTTTCTCCCCCCTCCGGATCTACTTTGAAATATGATTTGAATATACGAGTAGACTGAAGGAGTGACAAGACTTCAGGGCTAGTAGCACGTATTAGTGGCTATTGAGGATCCATATTTAGAAATAACCTTTGACCGAAACATCAAATATGTATCCAACATCCTCCGGAGTACTTAGCCACCTGTCAGACACTCCACTCCGTGATAGGAGTGCCTCATCAGGTAATATCGGTAGCAATAGTAGGTGGAAGGAAACCAGTAAACTATCTCCAACCTGACAAGTCCGTAGGCCGTAAAAAAGTAAAAAGGTAAAAAGTACCCCGAACTTAAAGGACGCGCCAATGTCAGGTCGGTAACTGGTGGCATCATTAGCCACGATCCACCATCTGCGATTGACCTGCAGGTTCGGGTGGGTGCAGTTCAGGTCATTGGTATATGGTGTCCGAAAGGTAGATCCCTGCAAGTAGATATAATTGTAAGTGTAAGTGTAAGTTGTGACACAGGATAAGCACTCCGGTACTTGGAATTGAAACTTTGAACGGTTGTAAAGGTGCTCGTGCTGAAATCCCCCGATATGTGGAGAACCCCATTTTTAGGCGCTTGACAGTTTGAGAAGTCAGGAGTCTTTCAAGGGGTAACGTATGAAGAATGTTTGATCAAATTTAGAATGTCAATTAGATGTTCCAATGTTATCTATGTATTAATATTTGATTGATAGGAAAAAATGACTGGAGGAGAGAAGTTCGCAAAAAGTGTGGAGGTCGACGCCACAGGGAGGATCCAGTGGCTAGTGTGTGCTAAATGGACTTCTGCCAAACATTCTGGATCCTTTAATCTCAGATCTTCACTTTCCTCTCCCTCTCTCTCTCTCCCTCTTCCCTATTCATTGAATACATTGGTTTCTATTTCTAATGAGACTACTGAATAGCCTATATTTTTCTTGATCCCGCACCCTACTTCGTCTTCCCTCCATCCTCGCTCTCATTTCACCCCCAAAACTCCAAGTTCTCCCTTGTCTTGGCTTTCTCTTCGATCTTCAAGTCTCCAAGTCTTAGATTCTCTGCGGAAAATACAAGCACCCCCCCTTTTTGATTTATCCGGAAGTTCCTACTCTCTTCCGGCCTCGTGTTCCGTGTTCCTGAAGCTCCGTCTCCGCGCATCGAAGCCTCCACTTTGGTGTTCATCGGCAAAACAGCTCTTCCCTCTCTGGCATGTCCGCGGCCCTTAGCTGGTCGCACATGTAATCATGGCACAACCTGACCTCACGTCGCATCATGTCAACTATTTAATATGGAGGTAAGTGCAATATAATCCATGCATCTCCTACAGAACTAATATCTTTTCTAGGTACCTCCAAGAATCAGGTTGGTCACGTTGCCCCTTGACTTTTCCTAATTTGACCACTAACCTTAACCTAGGTCATGGCGATGCCGCTGTGTCTTTGCAGCGCGCGTGGTTCCCTAATCCGCAGACTCTCCCGTTTGCGCCTTACATTAAAACCCATGCGCTGGTGTCGCTGGTCCAAAAGGGCCTGCAATATCATGAGATGGAATCCTCGCTGGACAAGGTATGTGTTTCATTTTAAACGGTTCTTACGCGCCAAAGGAGAAGGGGGGAAAAACTTTCTTTTTTGGGTTCAATTGCAGTCTAAACTAATTGCAATACACAGGAGGGTAATCATAAAAGCATTTCACCATCTGATTATTTTTTCGGACCAGAACCATTTGAAATTGGAACCAAACCTGGGTCAGCGGAAAGTCGCGATGAGGCTGTTGGCACAGACCCAGATTCGCCGGACCAAGTTGCGCGCGACCGCCCGGTGAACGGCCATGCCGAGCCCGGAAAGGACAGCCGAAAGGACGAAACTGATAGCGATGAATCCATGGAGGATAAGGCGCAAACTGAAAGTCAGCCAAATACCCCCGATCATATGGACGAGGATGGTGATGTCAGCATGGCTGAGGAGATCCCTGAACTACCGCCCACTCTGGAAAACGGCGAGAGCTCTTCCGTCCAGATCGCCCCCGCCAAGCCCATCGATTTGACACCCGACACCGCCCTGCTGAATCCGGATCAACACGTGACCCACGTCGTGTGGCGTCCTCGGGATCCCACTGTGGTAGTGGGAGCTGGTGACCTCTTTTGCAGCTTGTGGAAGTTGTCCATGTCATCGGAACCTGTGGAAAAGAAAATCCTCGATCTTAAGAAGGGTGACACACATGTCTCGACTGTAGCATGGGATGCCATTGGCGAGAAATTGGCCGTCGCGACTTGTACTGATGACAGGGGCACGATCACCATGTACAACGTCAATGGAGACGCAGTGGATTTACTACCCGAGGTACCCCGGCTCATCACTGGCTTGCACTGGGCAGCTGGTAGCTCGCAACTGATCGTGGTAGCCTCGAATCATAACGTATCGGAACTCGCGCTTTGGGACGATAGCCGCCGACCAGATGTTTTCCCTCCGCCTCAAATGATTGAGAACCAGATTTATGATCTCGCTTGGTGTGGACGCAACCTGGCATTTGCTTCTGGCGAGGGTGCAGTCTATCAATGCGAAGTGGACAGCAGCATCCGCCTGGTTAAGACATTTCCTTCTCCCAAAGATAATGTGACATGGGACTTTATTCGGTGTGTCCAAACCGAGTCCCACGCAGTTGCTATCGTGGCTTCGGGGGTGAGCGGTTCAATTTGGATCCCCACCCATGACATTCTTATCCCCAACGCCCACAAGGACAAAATCACTAGCATTGATATCAGTCCCCAATTCGACCCCCATCGTATTGAATTTGCCTCTTTCTCAGCGGATGGTAGGGCCAAGGTTTGGCATGTTCACCTCGATACCAAGGATTACACGAACATTCATCAGCTGAGCCTAGACTCAAACCCCGCTATCACCGGATCTTTCTCCCCTGATGGATACGCCCTTGGTGCAGCTAGCAAGGACAAACTCTTTATCTGGAATATTGAACACCCCGACGGTAATCTCACGTCCACCTGGACCGCAACTAGCCCCGTGGTGAAGAAAGAGGAAGCCGACCGCATGACGAATGGACAAAACGGACATCATGGACAGAATGGTTATTCGACACCAGAACCCCATCGGGCCCTTTCCTGGGATGCAGATGGAAAACGACTTGCTTATGGCTTCAACAAACAGGTACGCTCCCTGATCTGGTTTCCCTGTGTCAATTCCCCCCATGCTGACGATCCAATTTCCCAAGATGGCAATTATCAATTTGCAACGATGACAGAGCGGGTTTGAAACAGCCACATAAAACTCACGACTCATGCCCTGCTTGAACTAATTCGACAATCCCGCTGGAGATGCCTTTTCCAACTCTTTCCCTTGAAGACATATCACCCTTCGTGGTTTTTCCAAATCTTTTTTTTTTATCTTTTTGCTTTCTGTGAACATACATTTTTTTTTTTTTTTAGAAAATGCATAATGGCATGCATTGCTTGGGACAGGTTTGGGTGGGCACGGCGAATGACATGGACTGGCGACGGTGGACTTTTTTTGCCTTTTTCCCCCTTCACCTATTTCAGGTGGGATCTGTGATTTCTGAAACTCACTTTTAGTGTCTGATAATCAAGAAAATACCCCAATTTTCAAACCAATTCTTGTACAATATCGGTCCACAGGTCCATGGCCGCTTTATCGAGAATCGATATGCCACTCGACGCTAGTCTACTTTTGGATGCATATAATCACTGGACACACCCGTGGACCTGTGAAACGATACATATTTTGTCATCTGATGCCTCAGGCACCAGGACCATCCAATGTTATGGTTCTTATCACGTGATGCAGGACTGAAATTTACTCGGCCTGACTTTGAGCGCCCTCGTAAAAGCGGCGGCAACTTAGATAGGAAAGCCCCACTACAGGAAATATGTTATGTATAGTGACCTAGGTACAACCTTGAAAAGTACAACATACCTAAGCTTTCTGAGGTTCGAGATTTGCTCAATAATTCATTAGGAGCTTTAAAACTGATATCATCATTCTGTTATTTTGTTACACCTCAAATCAAATATATGCAGGCTGAGGCGCGTTCCTGGGCCACCCGTCGATACATCCATATCCAAACCCCCCACAGTGAATCATTTTCCCACCGCCAACCCAATCTTCCCTCTTTGATAGCACCGTCAATAGTCAAGATCAGCCACTTATAACAAAATGGCAACTCCTGTAAGTACGCGTCTACATTGTTATTGTATTTCGCCGCTCTTCGACGATCCCGTTGGGATTTTGGTGTATATGCTCATTGACCAATGACTCAGGTCCCAAGCATCCCGTCCCTTGAGACGGCGCGAGAAGTGATCTCAAAGTCAAGGAACTCCGAGTTCCCTCCCAACCTACTTCCTGTCACGGCGTCGATCCCTGCCGACCTCTTAACCCCGACATTGGCATACTTGAAGATCGCGGAGAAGTGAGTCATTGGGTTGTTTTCAACATTGGCGATAAGGCCGGGGGTATGGAATACTGGACAAGATCGCTGACTTACAGGCATAGCTCGCGGTTGTCATTCTTGTATGAAAGTGCTGCCACTACAGAGACCATTGGACGATACAGCTTTATTGGTGCAGGTCGGTAATTCCGCAGGAGTCTTTGATCCGATTCCATCGCTTACCTCCTCCTCCCATACAGACCCCAGAAAGGTCATTAAGACCGGCGAGGGCCATGGCCCAGCAGCGGATCCTCTCCCATACCTCGAGGAGGAGCTTTCTCAGTTCCGCGTCGCGACAGTACCTGAATTAGTCCTCCCGCCGTTGACCGCCGGAGCAATCGGATATGTTGGATACGACTGTGTTAGATACTTTGAGCCCAAGACGGCGCGGCCGATGAAGGACGTGCTCGGAGTGCCTGAATCGTTCTTTATGCTTTACGACACCATCATTGCATTCGATCATTTCTTCCAAGTCGTCAAGGTCATCACCTACGTTCCCATTCCCTCGGCGGATGCCGATATCGAGGCCTCATACCTCAAGGGTCAGTCCATCATCCAGAAGACGATCGATACGCTACTTCAGGATCGTACACCGCTTCCACCCCAGGGCCCGATCATTCCGGACCAGGAGTATACATCCAACATCGGACGGGATGGGTATGAAGGCCACGTCAACCGATTGAAGAAGCACATCGCCAAGGGCGATATTTTCCAGACCGTGCCGTCACAGCGGCTATCACGACCTACCTCTCTCCACCCGTTCAACCTCTTCCGCCACCTTCGCACCGTCAACCCTTCTCCTTATCTGTTCTATATCGACTGCCAAGACTTCCAGCTTGTCGGGGCCAGTCCCGAGCTCCTGGTAAAGGAAGAGAGGGGACGTATCATCAGCCACCCCATCGCAGGTACAGTGAAGCGCGGCAAGACCCCGGAGGAGGATGCCGCCCTCTCCGAGGAGCTCCGCAGCAGTCTCAAGGACCGCGCCGAGCACGTCATGTTGGTCGATCTTGCCCGCAACGACGTCAACCGAGTCTGTGACCCTACCACAACACAGGTTGACCGACTGATGGTCGTAGAGAAGTTCTCACACGTCCAGCACCTAGTCTCCCAAGTATCGGGAGAGTTGCGGCCAGGCATGACCCGATTCGACGCTTTCCGGTCTATCTTCCCTGCCGGCACAGTTTCCGGTGCACCTAAAGTCCGCGCCATGCAGCTCATCGCCGAGCTGGAGGGTGAAAAGCGTGGCGTTTACGCTGGAGCTGTCGGATACTTTGGATATAACAGCGCCAACTCAGATGGCTCAGCCGAGATGCCCGGTGCGATGGACACATGCATTGCGCTGCGCACTATGATGGTCAAGGACGGCGTGGCATATCTCCAGGCTGGTGGTGGTATTGTCTTCGACTCGGATCCCTATGATGAGTACATTGAGACGATCAACAAGCTTGGTGCCAACATTGCGTGCATCAAGGGCGCCGAGGCGAAATACCTGAGCATGGAGAAGTAATGGACTTGGATTTAGGAATAAAAGCACAAGCAGACTGGTTATGTTTCTTTTTCTTTTTTTTTTTTGCAGAAGCGTCGGCCCCTGGGGATACACAATGGGGCTGGGTGGTTTGATGTGAAGACGGACAGCATTCTGAGGGCCACACGCTCTCTCACGTGGGCATTAATCTGATTTCGGTTTCGGTTTATGTGTTATGGGTAGAAATTCATGAAACAATACACAATTTATCACATCTCATTTCTAATATATACTGTCCCTATCTCCCTATGTTGCACTCCCAACATATTCCATATGTGGGAGCTGGTGCAAGCCCGAGCGATGCAACCACCTGTGTTGCACAACATACCCGGGTAGTTGGAAGATCTATATAACTCTGACCCAATCAGGGCTTGGTTCAGACCTTGGGATGGCTGTACGACCGGCCCATGACGCAAAGAAGACAATGGACAAGGGGAAGTAGCGTATCTAGGTATAACTTTCGAGACTTACTCTAATTTCCCTCCTCATCCTTTCATTCCAGGCAATCTCTTCTTCTATAGCCCCCAATAGCATGAATGGCATCCATAACATGACCGGTCGTCGCCATCGCCGGGGCCACCGGATATCTAGGCAAGCACGTCACAACAGCCTTCCTTTCCCCGAGCTTTTAAGACAAATTCTCCGAGATAATCCTCCTCTCAAGAAACGAGTCCTGTCTCTTCCAGCCCGTCTCCTCACAATCTGGCGTGAAACTAACAAGCCGCTGCTACAACGGGACCAACCTCAAAGAATCCCTACAAGGTGTCCAAATCCTCGTAAACACCATCGGGCCCGCAGGCCATGACTTCAAAACAAAGATCGCCGCCGCTCTTCCGCAAACCAATATCCAAGTCTACTTCCCCTCCGAATTCGGCGTCGACCACTACGGCCACGACTTCGCCCATCTGGAATGGAACGAGAAGAAGAAACACCTTGCGAACGCGCAGCGAATAGTCTCGCATATGAGTGTCAAGATCTGTCGCGTATTCTGCGGCTTGTTTCTAGAAGGCAGTATCGGGCCGTGGTTCGGTCTCGATACCCAGAACGGGCAGTATACAAGTGTTGGGTCGTCTCGTACGCCGGTGTCATTTACCTCGCTTGGGGATGTCGGTAGGACGGTTGCTTCCTTGGCGACTCTGCCCGCAGAGAAGATTCTAGATGTTGTTCATGCTGGTGGTGACTCGCGCTCAATTGCGGAGATTGCGGGGATCATGGAGTCTGCTGGTGCGGGACGAATTAATATTGACTGTCTCCCCTATGAGGAATATAAGAAGAAGGCTACTGCTGGGCCTTCGGGGCGTCCCGCTGCTTGTTTGTGGTTCTTGATGGGTGACCGGGGTATCGCTCACACTCCTGCTTTTCTATGGAGCGATAATGAGCTTGTTAACCCTGGTCAGCGGCTGTGGAAATGGAAGACTGTATGGGATTTGGCGAAGGAAACGAATGGACAACCTGTGAAAGATGTTGTCTGGCCTCGTCATAAGTAGATGTTTATTGATATAGTTCGGAAATTAAATATTTCAATTATTACTCGATCACACCTGAGCATGGCTGCTTCATTCATCTAAAGACATGCAGCCTTAGTGGAGTATATTCCTCAGCCTTACAACTTTATGGGGGTTTTGAGACACCATTGGAGTCTTGGAGGTGAGCAGACGAGGCTGTGGACACAGGTGCCTATCGTGAGGCTTAGCCCGTACTCCATACTGATCATCCCAGGGCTCGTATTGGTCTTTGCACTAGCAATGTCACATTTAAGTTTCGATATTATGAGGTTTCTTTAGTCCCTTGGCGAGCACGCTGCGCCCTGGTGACTCAATATCTGAAGGTTTCTGACTTTCCGAGGTTCTTTCCCTCGTTGAGTCACTTCCGACGACATCTTTAAATGAGACGAAATCGCCTCGGCACAAAAAAAAAAAAAAAAATCGAAATTGACATCAATACCAACATGTCTTCATCCTTGCAATCTCGAGCCAAAGGCGCTATTTGGGGCGTCTGCGTAGCCGACGCCCTCGGCGGCCCCGTACAATTCAGAGACCCAGGAACCTTCGAGCCGATCACATGCTTGAGATTTGTTGCACCCTTCAAGCAACCAGCTGGGTAAGATTCTATCACAGTCATATAAGCAAAGTACATGCGACTAACATGGATAAGCTCCTACTCCGACGACGGATCTATGACTCTAGCCTTGGCATGCTCCTTCAACAAGTCGAATATGCAATACAACCATGAGCTGTCAATCCGGTACTTTATCGAGTGGATAACCACAGGCCATTTCGGCACTGCCAACCACTCATGGGATGTCGGACGCTCGACTCGCACCTCCCTTCGAATGTGGGTGAAGTATGGCATAGAAGGTGGTGATTTCGAACTTGCGCAGCTGTTGGTCACTGATCGATTACATCAAAATGAGTTCTCCGGGAACGGGAGCTTGATGCGGATCGTCCCGATTGGGTTGGTTTACTGGCAAGATTCTGAATTGGCGAGGGAAATTGCCAGAAGACATGGCCAGATCACTCATCCTTCGCACGCGTGCATGGAAGCCTGTGAAGCGTATACGGAGTTGGTGTGTAGGGTTATGAATGGTTTGTGTTTTGATTCCCAGACTCCAAGGATTGCTACTGACGTCCACTGCGTATAGGTGAAACGAAGAAGCAAATCTTCCACGCGGTCTCTGTGTTCCCATTTACTCATCCTGATCTGAAGGGGCGCTTTTCGCTGTACAGATACAAAACGATCAGCGATTGGAAGGCGAAGGCGCCAAGTGATATGAAGAGTAGTGGGTGGGTTGTTGATACACTTGAGTGTGCTCTGTGGGCATTCTTCAAGTATGATACCTGGAAGGAGGGGGCGTTGGCAGTAGTCAATTTGGGTGGTGACTCGGATACTGCAGGGGCTGTTTATGGAGGTCTTGCGGGTGCGTTCTATGGATTTGATGCTATTCCTGGTGAATGGGTGGATGGGATGCAAAATAAAGGGTTTATTGAAAGTATTGCTGGTGGTCTGTCCGATGGGATTGCTTGATATTCTTGACTTCCATTCTAGGACTCAAAATTGAACTACAAAATTAATTCATTTGAGTTGTTCCCAGGTTCTAGCATACATATAGTCAATGTGCCTCAACTGGCACCTTCCTAAATGCTAAAGGACCCCGTGTAAACAAATCTCCGTATACGGATTGGGAAGGTGCGATACATGGGGCACTGGTAGGGAAGGTGCAAGGGAACTGTTCATTTTGGGAAGGTACGCATGTGCTTGGGGGTATAAAAGGACACCCACCCCTCTCCCACCTCTTCTCTTCTTCTTCTCTTCTTCCTCCCCCCAACCCTCTCAACCACCATCTCACCGTAACCCCCCACGAGACAGCGCAGGCGGAGGGCCCCGTAGCACATGGTGCGTGCACACCTATGTTGAGACGTCAGCAGTATCCCGTTGCTGAGAGTCATACCATATACTCGATGCCCACCAACATTGAATACCAGTTCTCGTGCGAGCCCTTCGGTAAAGTCATGGTTGAGCATTTGGGCTCCATAGCCATTGGCGGTCCCACGGAACACACCCCTCTACTTAAATATTTATTCGCTATATTCCAAGTTTTAGATGCATAGCTTTAAGATTGGTGTCCACAATACCTATGTAATGTCGCAAGCTGTCCCTGTATATAAACTAGAGCCTCCGTAGAGGAAGCTGCAAGTCAGATATTCAGTGGTCTCGTGTTGAGGCGTCGCTTTGATCCTCTGCAATCTAACCGTGGAAGTTCATAGGAAGCACCATCTGGTCTCAGGATGTAGAAAGCCCGCCCTTGCCATGATATCTAACTCTAGGAACTGGATATATTGTTAGGCCATGTAGTTCGAATAGGCATTGCTCTGGAAACACCTGCTATAGAAATGTGCTGTCTTTTATAGTTCATGGATTGGTCATTTACACATAGATAAGTACCGAGCCTGTATCAATCAGTATCTGGTTCAGTAATAGAACTATTTCCATGAGGCATATTTGTTGCCTAAAAAAAAGGTGGATAGTAAGAAAACTCATGGATATAAAACGATATCAACCCCAATGTGGGCCTATACGATCGGAGCGCCAAGAGTGTTCTTGCATTCTAGAAGAGTGTAAATGACGTAGCTGGTTCTTCATGAGATTTCACATATGAACTTTGAATAACTGGATACATATGTACTACATATATAGTACTTTATTGTATGTTGGATACTTCACATATTTCTCAATTGAGCCCAAGACATCAATTGACTGTTGCCTGACCACGACCAAGGTTCTGACGCGGCCCAAGACCGCCACATGTGGCGGAAAACATGCCATTGTGTTTTTGATCTGATTCTTTTTGATACATCTGGGAGAATTGGGATGAGATTTGATAGAATTTGTCAAATGAGATCAATCTATAGAAGTTAGATAGTGAATTGCTTATTCCGGACAATATATAGGGGGAATCAGGAGAAAAAGTACGATCACGGCGATTAGACCGGACCTCCGGCCACGAGGGTGTAACTGCACTTGGACATGCAATGTACATGGACAATTTAAGGGATCTTAGAGCTCATTTTTGGTTTACTCCAAGGCTTGTGAAGATAACAAAATGCAATCAAAACTTATCTCTTAAAAAGTTCCAAAGTGTAGATCTTTGAACAGGCCTACTTAGGTAGGTGTATAAGTTTGGTCCAAACTGCTTCGTCACTTGCCAAGCCCTCTCATTCCCCCCCGTTCGAGCCATCCCCTCTCCTCTCTTTCACTTGTCACCTTTCATCCTTTGACTCTCGACTATTGTTTGCCAATATTTTCTTTTGAGGGCAATCTGAAGCTCAGTCCCTCGAATCCCTTTGGACCAATCTGTCAATCTGTCCCTTTCAAAGCCGGACACGCTTGACAAACTACCTTAGGCCGCGACACGGAGAAAGAGGGCTGTGTGTGCTTGGCAGTCTAATACTCTTCTGCGATAACAATCCTTCGCATCGATTTCCACCCGACGATTACGATCCATTCCATCTCCATTAAAACTGCGACCGTCGCATCACCACCGTCATGTCGAAAGTCGTGCGGAGCGTGAAGAACGTCACAAAAGGATATTCCTCAGTGCAGGTCAAGGTCCGAAATGGTATGAACCGATTCCACTACATCGAAGTCTCAGGCGATCATCGAGCTGCCCTCGCATATGTAGCACTGCTGTTGCCACGGCTTGCCGCCCCTGTCTTTTCCCGGGGGTTGCTTGCTGCATTGCGCCCATGCACCCCGCACACATAGTGACCAAGTTGCTGACTTACTTTCACAGCCACTAGTAATGACCCCTGGGGCCCTACGGGCACTGACATGTCCGAGATTGCCGCCATGACTTTCGGGAGGTGAGTTTGAATCTGCGATTAACCCGGTGGGCGCCGCTAATGGCCGTTTGCATAATAGTCCGAACGAGTTCTACGAGATCATGGACATGCTTGACAAGCGACTCAACGATAAGGGCAAGAACTGGCGCCACGTGCTGAAGTCACTGAAGGTCTTGGACTACTGTCTTCATGAAGGCTCGGAGTTAGTGGTAACGTGGGCCCGGAAAAATGTCTATATTATCAAGACTTTGCGCGAGTTCACATACGTGGACGAGGAATCAAGGGATGTTGGCCAAAACGGTAAGTTGTTTCTTAATGAAAAAAAACTCGAGGGGTCGCAAAATTGACTTGGTGTTCTATAGTTCGCGTGGCAGCAAAGGAATTGACTGCATTGGTACTGGATGAAGATCGTTTGCGCAGTGAACGATCAGATCGTAAACTGTGGAAGACTCGCGTTAGCGGACTCGACGAAGGCTACGGAAACTCCCCCGTGGAACCGCCGCGCAGAGACCGACGCCGACGTAACGGGGAGGACGACTCCGACACCGAATACCGCTTAGCTATTGAAGCTAGCAAGGCCGAGGCCGAGGAAGAGCGCAGGCGACGGGCCAAGGAGACAATGGTAGCCGACGACGAAGATCTTGCCAAGGCCCTCAAGCTTAGCAGGGAGGAGGAGGATCTCCGAAAGCGCGAATTGGAAGAGAGCAACGCCCATGCTCTCTTCGACGACACCCCAGCTCAAGTCCAGCCAACTGGCTACAACCAGGGCTACCAACAGCAAGGTGCTGTGGACTGGTTTGGCAACCCGATCAATGCCCAGCAGCCCATGACAACTGGTTACCTGAACAACCAGTACGCACAGCCGACAGGATTCCAGAACCAGCCCACCGGCATGAATAACCCCTACGCCAACGGATATCAGGCACAGCCCTCGGCCTTTGATCAGAACCCTTACGGCCAGCAACAGAACAACCTTTTGCAACCGCAGGCCACACTTCAACCCCAGCACACCGCATTCAATCCCAACAACCCTTACGGAGGAGCGGACGTATACTCGCAGCAACAACAGCAGCAGCAACAACAACAGCCCCAGGAGAACTACCAGACTGCAGGAAGCAATAACCCATGGGCTGGGAACCAGCCTCAGC